ACCAAGTTCTAGCATCGTGGACACAGGCCTCAAGAACCAAGTTCTAGTATCGTGGACACAGACCTTTAAGAATGCGGAAAAGGTCGGACTGCATCTATATGTCAATAACGTATAGGAAAGTGTACATACATACAAGTGTATGCACATAAATTCTCTTAGGCGTGACGAATTCGAAGTTCAATTTTGCCTCGTCGACAATTAAGAAAATCCGTTTACCGCCATAATAAATGTATCGATCCTGGATTCACGCGTTTATTTTTCGGACGTCGCACGCGAAGATCTATTCGGCGACAAATATTATTCGATCGTGACTCTCGTTTCCGTCGAATACACTGCGCACGCGAACCGGGGGCCGTGGGTAGATCGATTTACGGAGCGATTCGGAGAGATCCGGACGTCTCAGAAGCGGAGCCACTTTGGTACCACATGACGTCGCGCGAGCGGGGCGCATTTACGTCGCGGGACAATGGAAAAGGTCGCGCGCGCGGCTCTGGCATTTGCGGCGTTCGTCGTTAATAAACGTGTTCGCGAGAAAATGCGCAACGTATCGGGCTGAATCAAAAGGCTTGCGGATGGGCACAGGCCTTTCCGCGGCGGGGGGAGCGCGGGCGGGGAGTCGCCCGCGAAAGAACGGGCGGAGTGTATCTGTGCACGCGCTCATTGATGTTCCAGCGCAACGGCTAATTGAAGAACATCTGTGTCCGCACGTTGAAATATTATGTGCGCGCACGGCGAGAATTTTCTGTTGAAATTTATCCCGAAAATTGTATAAAACGGAAAATGATTTTTTTTAACAAATCATAATTACGGCTACGGTAGCGAAAATTTTTTTTAAGTGAATCGTGGGACGAAACACGGCATTTCAAAGAACTTTATGAGCGTTTTCTGTAATCTTACCATACATTTCACTAGTAATTATATACATACATTTTACTAGTAAAATGTAAACTTTCCAAAAAGTTGTTGGAAACGTCATGTGGTCCCATGATCGCATGATTTTCACGTGCACTTTATCAGTGTTTTCAAATAACGTCGCTAATTCACGACTCAAATTACAGTCTCCAATAATTGAAGTTTTAAAGATAACAGCAACGAACAATAATATTTAAAAGTTCTGGGACATTGAAAGTGAGGAATCTAGGACTCTACAAATTCAAAACGTACCGAGAGCAGTTTGAGTATTTTACGAGAGTAGCGGAAATTCAGCCAGGTTTGACGAGCGGTATCTTTGATCAACCAACCGATAAGAATTATGATAGATGTGCTATTTACAACGCCGTTTGTACCAAAGAACTTCTTAAAATACATATGTTTATTTATAATTTATCGCCATTAAATATTTATACAGTTTATTACACATATATTTGATATTTATCTAAAATACATTTCTTACACTTTCTGCATTTAAGTTGAAATATGCTCTCTCGAATATTAGATGAAGGTAAAAGGTGATTAAACAAAACGAATGTATCGTTACATTAATATTCGATTTGCCGCTACAATTGTTAAATTCACAGTTTCCCGACTTTATTAATACAAAACAAAGACCGGATACGATTGGACGTCAATTACGCCAGTTTGTCTGAAAATTCGCTTTGTCAGACGACAAGGCCAGCCAGCGGCATCGCGTCCAACGATTTCCCTCGCGTTTCCTCGCCTTATGATTTAAAGACGGTCATCGAACGCGAACGGTCATCATACGGATTGTACGCATCTTTCATCGCGACCGCTCACTAAACTCATAATGAAGCCTCAGCTGGAGACAACGCGGCAATTTTCGGTTACATCGAGCGGAATTTTCCAAATTCGTATAATTGACGTGTGACAAACGATTCAAGGCAAATCCTCGGGGAATTCAAGAGCTCCGGGAAACCGAGAGTCGCCGTGACGTTGGAAGTAATAATAATAATAAATTCGAAGATCGCGATATATGAAGTGTTGCGTGCCGATAATGCTGCAAATTGCAGAGTAGATATAAAACGATCAAAGTATTGACAACGACTCCGAAGTGAATAGTAATTGCGTAATTTCAGTTTTCTTAGATTTCCACGTACAAGTTCAGTAGAAATCGGCGACGCGGATTGTGATGAGCGCAGCTAATGTAAGTGCAAAAGCTAGTTCTCGGTGAGACACACAATCTTTTACCCACACTGTAAAAAGTTACATGTAAAATCACAATTATTATTGTGCGTTATATTGGGACCATTTAATGAAGGTGAACATGTACATACGTCAGTAAATTTACATCTTGTAGATAAAATTATTACCTTACATAACGAGTAACTGCTTGCTTTTAATTGTGTAAATTTTACAATTTTTTGTCATTTTTCATCAAATAAAAACAAGTATTTACACAACAAAGAGAAAGCAATTATAAAAGTACATAAATTTACATATTTCCATGATTAATAGTGTAACCGCTACACTTATTACGTACGTAATTTTACATACTTTTTTTTACAGTGCACCGTGTAATCAATATACATTTTATTGTCCATGTCGTAATTGTTTAATGCGCGACACAAATATACCGAGAGTTAACAGCCAAGTTGAACAAGGATATAAATAATAAAATGAAAAGCAATTCATTAACTGGGGGGAACCGACGTTGAGCGATATTTAAATTTCTTTGCCGTAAATAAAGAAAGGCACGCGCCGCGCGTTTTGCCGCCCTCGTGAGAAAGTTTCCACGGAAATCGTTCTCTCCTTTGGCACATAATCGCATAAAACGCGTCGCTTGGAATTAGGGGACTGAGCCCATGAAAAGCCGCGCGACCCTTCCGACTTTCGTTTCGCACGCTTCAAGTCGTGCTTGTTCACAATTTTCCAGTTGATTACATTTTCAACGCAGAAATTTACTCGCTGGCAATTTCCGAATAGTGTTCTCATTTTCATATCGCAAACGTTTTATTTATTTCTTTTGCAACAATAACAGTCTGCATCGCTCGTACGTATATGTGCAATTTTATATTTATTATATATAATTTTTAATAATATAATTATATATTAATACCGGAACTTTTAAATGTTATTGTTCGTTGCTGTTATCTTTAAAACTTCAATTATTGGAGATATATAATTTGAGTCGTGAATTAGCGATGTTATTTGAGAACACGGATAAAGTGCACGGAGAGAATTTTCTCTTCAAATTTCATCCGTAAATACGATCGTGAGACAACATTTCCAAGAACTTTGTAAGAGTTTTCTGAAAGTTTACCGAAGAAAAATAGCCCCTTTAATTTATTTCATCACAACGTGCCGATAATACACTGAATATTATTAGTGTGTCAATGATACGTGTCATTGCGAGGATCGACGGTAAGCGAGAAACGTGATACGGATATCGCAAAACGCACGTTTGTACACATAACACGCCGTAATTGTTTTCCAAGAATTTCATGTCAGACATCGGGCCTTTGACTCGACTACGCACGACTAAAATAAATGTACAAGAAGGTGCGTAAGATTTCGACTTATTGTTAACGTCAGGGAAAACAATGTGCTGACATGACAAATATTTTTTTCTCTCTCTATTGCAACAGATCTACGTAATTTAAAGAGCATATAGCTTTCTCTGTTGTTATAAAAAAAAACAACACACAGTTTTAAATTTCGCGAGCATATCGACGGCTTCCGAGGGCGTGGAATTGTCTTTAATGTCGGAAGATTAATCTCCTAAACTGAAAGGAATAAAGTTTATTATCGCCGGTGTATAATTGACGAATGCAGAGAAGATTATTAGACGACCCAACTGGCAGATGGTGTGTATTATTTACTCAATAGATTACATCCAATCCAGGAAGTAAATAACACCATCTGCCAGTTGGCTCGTCTAATAATCCTCTCGCCTGAACCGAATTAATTGAACCGTTAAATATTAATTTTGATAGATTTTAAAATCCCGAGCCAAGAATCCCCCCTCATCTATTCTCTCGGCCTCGGCGAGTCCCGATTTGCGGATGAAAGGCGGCCTCTCGTCCCGAGTTGGGATCTGTTGAAAGCGTAGGTTAATTGACATCCACTTGAAAATGAAAATCAGCCCCGCGCTCTCCGGCCCAGAAACGGCCGTCGATACCCCCGAGAATTTGAAATCGGAGCGAGCCTCGCGCGTTCTCCTCTACCAAACTCGGCGACGGGCCCTCCCCGACAGCCGTCGCGCCGATTAGACGTCGCAGTGGGGACGGCGCCATGTTGGGTCCGTCCGTCCACGGCGCGGCGCGGCGCCGCGGCCGCAGCCGCCGCCGCGTCAGTCGCCCGTTGATCGCGACCGTGTGTACGTCGCACGCACGAGCCATGAATTGAGCCCGCGTTCGCTCGTGCCGCGTCGTCGTTTTACCTTTTTTTTTTTAATTTATCCCGTTGCGCGCGCTTTTATTTCGCACCACGCGCCCCGCACTCGCGCGCGGGAGACTGAAATCGGAGTTCTTGAACGCGGGAAATCTGGAGGGAGGTGCGGAGGGACCTGCGGGGGACACCGCGCACTAACATATATATTTGCGTGCAAAGTGCGTGCCTCTGGTGACTCCTCTCTCTCTTCTCCTCCTCCCTCTCTCACTCTCTTGGAAAGAGCGCGGGTGAAAGAGAGCCCAGAGGAATAGAGGGAAGCAGACTAGTGGCAAGCGGCGAGGAGGGAACGGGGGGGAGAGAGAGGCAACGGCGTGCGATGGCTGTGCGGCCACGCATCGGCCCTTCCGGTGGTGGACGCGCTTCCGGAGGTGCCGGGGACCTCACCGGGATCCCGGTCGTGCGATGGACCGTCGGGAGCACGCTCGTCGCCGCGGCGGCGCTCGCCGTCGTCCTCGGCGTCGCCGACGTCGCGGCCATCAGATCGGGTGAGTACCCTTCGCGCATCTTCGGGGGCCCTTTAAATCGGAGCCGCGACTCCGTCCCGCTGCCGGGGGACCCCCGCTCTTGGGGCACGTTTCGAAAACTCCGCCGATCAGTTCCTCCGAGAGTGTCCGCGGAGTTGAACCGCGCGCGTCTCCGTTTAACGTCAACTCGCGCAGCGCGTAGAGAAACGCGAAACGCGAGTTTCCGGCGAGCCGAAAGCGCCCGTACGAACGGCGTTCGCCAAGAGAGCCCGATCCTCTTTTCGGATCCTCCGGTGTCCCGTTAATCGCATCGACAGTCGCGCTCCTCCGCCGAAGTACCGTAGCCTGTGTACACGTAATCGGGCACTCCGCGTCGATTTGAAACCTATCGCGGCTGTTATTCCCTCGCCTTGCTTTCTCCTTTTCTTGCGGGCGACTCGCACGTTCGCTCCAGCACCGCCCTGCCCCGCGAGAGACGACTTGCCGACTCCTCATCCCGCTTCCCTAATATTCCGCTTTGCCGCGAGCGAAAGTCGGCGAGGGGGCAGGCGCGACGGGGCGAAACGTCGGCCGCGCGCGAGTCGCACGGAGGAGAAGACCGGAGGAGTCGATCGCTCGATCGAGCGATCGATACGGCGATCGAAGCGATAGTAGTCGGCGCGACCACCCTCGAACGCGCCGATCTAGGGGTCAATTCTGTATCTAAGGGTCTGTCCAGACAAACTTGGACAGGTGCGTAAGCGTACGTAAAAAAATTGATTGGCCTATTTCCTTATGCATGCGTTTATGGTCCAATCAGATTCCTTGTGCGTACACAGTTGAAACATTTGTGTTAAATTTAACAGATATCACATGTCCCAAACGGTCCGCACAAATTTTTGTGTTAATTTAACATAATATGGATATGTTAAATCATCACACTAATACTCTGTTACTATTTTAACACAAAATAAATGCAAGTCTCAAAATAATTTGAAATAAATTTTGTGTAAAATTGACATATTTTTAATGACCAAATGAATTTTAAAAAATGTAATTTTTATATTTTACAGATGTAATAAGTCAAACGACTCGAAATCACTCTCACTTATGTTATATAGAATAAAATCAACATTGTATTCTGTAAATTTTAACAGATAAATTTTGTTACTAATAATATCGAACACATGTATTGTGTCAGTTTAAAAATAAGTACACATTGTGTTGTTTTAACATTTCTTTTCAGTTATTTCAATAATTTTACATTTGAGGTCAATTAACACAAGAGCAATATGTTAAATTAGCACATGATTGTGTTAAACATTTAGTTCAGTTAAAAATTTTGACCGACATTCTTTTTAACAAGAAAACACAAATTTTCAAACTGTGTACGTTTACGCAAGTTTGTCTGGATAGACCCTTAAGCCCGTATCAGACTACGGATTGAGATTGAGATTAGATTGAAATTGGACCAATCGGAGTAAAGTTTACTAATCCCAAGTTCACTGATTTTTACTCTGATTAGTCAAATTTCAATCTAATCTCAATCCCAATTCGTAGTCTGATACGGGTTTTAGGCTCGTTTTCACCAAACATCGCTTAACTTTATTAATCTTACATGGAGAGAATTTTCTCTCAAAATTTGTCCCGACAATCATGTAATCGTGGGACGATTTGGCGTTTTGCAGAATTTTATGAGAGTTTTTTGAAATTTTACCAGAGTTGGACGAATCAGAATTCCTTTAGGATTTACCAGATGTGTAGTGAAGTCTAGCAAACTTCTGATTATGAAATATATTTCATGGTAAATCCTAAAGGAATTCTGGTAAATCCTAAAGGAATTCTGATTCGTCCATTTTCTAACAGACTGGTTGAATCTATCAGACTTTCTTTTCAGTGTGCATTTCATGCGCAAATGCAAGGTCTAATGCGATCTGTGGAAGTTTAAAAAATACATAAAGTGACTGTTAATGTAACTATTAAATTAGTTTCTAGTTACCAAAAAAATGTCACTGAGTTAAGTTACAGTTACCAAAAAAAAAGGTAACTAACTTCGTTACTTCCCAACCTTGAATTTTACCATACATTTTACTAGTAAAATGTGTACTGGTGTACTTTCTAATAAAAGTATAATTACTGGTATATAAAATGTATGGTAAAATTTCAGAAAACTCTCACAAAGTACTTGAAAACGCCGCGATGTCCCACGATTACACGACTTTCAGGATAAATTTTAAGAGCAAATTCTTTCCGTGTAGTTTAATTCGCGTTTGTCTCTTTCTAAAGGGACATTCGGAAAGAGACAAAGAACGAATTAAACCGAGTCTTACAGAGTAGTAAAAATAGTGAGCGACTTTGTCCAAGGGGACGGTTGGAAAGAGATAAAGCAGCTCACTTTTACCATTTCCCGAGAGGGAACCCGTTGAGGGCATTGTGGTGTACATATTTGCGGCTTTACTGGGCATTTTTTGGGCATTAGGTCTTGCTGGGGCATTATAAAGATAAAATATGATAAAATAAGGTAAAATAAGATAACAAGTTCAAGGAATGCCCATTGGAAATTAGTGGGCATTGGTGTACAAGATTTTGGTCAGCGGTTTCCCTCTCGCCATCTTCACTATAACGTAAGACACAGAATTGACCCCCTGTTTCGATCGGATTTGACGCGCCGGCGAAAAGTGGGCAGAACTCCGACGACGGGCCCTTCGAGAGGCCCCGGCTCCGATCTCGCGGAGCCTTTAATCCGCAAAAAGTCGCACGGCCACGTCGAACGCGGTAATAAACCGCTTCCTCTTTTTCATCGCGAGCTCGTTTCGCCGGCGTTTCTCCCACCTGTCCGCCCGTTTGTTTTGGAAGTTTCGAGGAACCGTTTCGAACGCGCGGAACCAAGGTCGATCCGGGAGCCCGTCTCTTTTTCGTCACCTTGAATAGCGACGCGGCTAACTGTCTATTGTTACCGCGGTGTAATGGGTTACGTTTACCTTTTTCCCCTCGCGATCGCGGAGGTGGGAGAGACTAGAGACCCTGTAATCGGTGACTGACCATAAGAGTTTGTCAAATTCCTGCGAGTGAGAGAGAAACATAGGCTGTCTCACTCTTCTACGATTCTACGATTCTACGATCGACGAACTTTTATGACCGGTCTCTGATTACAGGGTCTCTAGGAGAGACAAGTGGGTGATTGATGGGAAAATCGGTTCTGAGCGCGGCGCCGGTGGCTGCGCCAAATTTCTTAATCCCCAGTCCAGATCCATTTTCTAGTTTCCACGCATTTGTCATCAACCGTCCTTCCCGGCCGCGTACGCACTTCCCATAGGAAAACCGGTTTTGGACGACTCCGAAAAAAGATGACGCAATGTTCGCGTTTTAATCGCACGACCTGCAGAAGATAGAGCTAACACTATTTCTCTCCACGGCCTATCCTCGATATATGTCAGAAGTGTCGCGAGCGGGAACCCACGTAGTCCCTACCTGCTTTGCATGACCTGGCGCGGGAAACAAGGACGCGCGAAAGAAATGTAAATCCAACGAGCTGACAAGCGCTTTCCCTCTTCACTCGTAAACATCCCCTTCGTGTGGCACTAATTATACGGCCTTGGTACGCGAAATTAATTACGAACGGACGTTACGAGCCTTCGTTCGCGATTGGCGTCCGCGAAAAGTGTGGAAAGCTTTCGATTAATTTGTTTCGCGGAGATTAACGTCCGCGCGGTGTCGCGCTGCTCTATCGCGAAATTATTGAAAAAGGCACAAGTAAGGCGAAGGTTATTTTTATATTATAAATTCACGAGCCAGAATGGCATTTTAATGTGCGCGTCGAAAGACGCGGTGTTTCTTCGAGGCGTCACGTGCGTTTACCCGCTTATCAAACGTTTACCCGTTTATCAAACGATCGACCCGAAAAGTTTAACAACGCGATCCTGACGCTATACGAAAAGCGTTATCCCGGTATTTTGTGGATTCCCTAGCAATTTTGTTTAAAAAAAATCGTATTTCTCGTAATCTCTGCGACATAGAAGTCTGTGGCTTCGCAGTGCGACCTGCGTGAGATCATTCCACGGAAGATACAATAAAAGAAATAAATACATTGTATTGATTCCCCTTGAGCTTACAAGGCGTTTTTGAAGGATTATGCCCAAACCTCTCATAACATCTCTATTTCCATGAGTTTTGTAGGCCAAATTTAACGAGCTGGTATGCTGGATGTTTTTTTAAAAAATAAATAAAGTTTTATTCTTAACTATTTACATCGGCGAACGTTTCGACTTCACTTAGTCTTTCTCAACACCACTTTGTTAAATTATAAAATTGAATAAATACATTCTAAATAGATTTTTTTAATAATAAATAAGTAAAATATAAATAGATTTTTTGTTAAATTATAAAATTGAATAAATAAATTATAATTAAATAGTAAATAAGTAAATAGTAAATTCGTCCGATATACATTTCTTCAAAAATAAAACGTGTAAAATTATTTAAAAACTCTATTTAGAATGTATTTATTCAATTTTATAATTTAACAAAGTGGTGTTGAGAAAGACTAAGTGAAGTCGAAACGTTCACCGATGTAAATAGTTAAGAATAAACTTTATTTATTTTTTAAAAAAACATCCAGCATACCAGCTCGTTAAATTTGGCCTACAAAACTCATGTTAATTGTGTACACATAAAACGAGCGTCACCTCTACATTATCTCTATTTCCACTTCGCTATGTGGCGATCGAACGAAAACCAACAATGTATTGTCCGTTTTTGATCCCGGGTCTTCGGATTACCTGACTCCTCTGACAGAATCCTCTGCGCCACAATCGCCCGGAAAATATAACAAAGGAACCTTCTTTCCGCGTTCACGAGAACACACTTCGTATTCGACGCACGTGCACTGATTGTGAGAGAAAAAAAATAGTCATTTTTGGACCCAACCATATTTTTGGTTTATGACAACCAATATTGTGGTTATGAGAACTATCACATTGTTAGGTCAACCATAACTTACGTTGGAGGAATTATAAAAAATATGGTTGGCTCCAAAAATGACT